ATTCAGCCCCCAACGGTGGCAGCAGCAACGTCATCCTTCTCCTCTCTCAGCCTCCCCTAGTTCTCCTGTTGTTCTTCTTCGCCACCGAGGACACCGCCTTCCAGCCCATAGACCACCACGGATCTTCCCTCATCTGCTCCAACCGGCTTCCACCAAAGTCTCGCAGCCAACGCCAACCCAAGACCAGCCCCTCAGCCAACAGAGCTTCCCCCATTCCAACAGATCTTTTTCTCCTTCGATCTCTTCCACAGCAATCGGCCGACAGTAGACCTAGCTTGTCGCCTCCTGCAGAGGCCCAAACACAACAGACTATGCAAAAGCCGCCGACCGAACGGCCACTCTGCAGTAGATCTGCCATCGGGGAAGAAGAAAGGAACGACGGGGGCAGAAAAATAAATATAAAAGCAGATCTAAAACAGAACTAAAATCAACTGGTTGTTGCATTTTCTTGGCTTTGCAGGTGACCTTGCTTCTCACTGCCGGTGTAGAAGGGAAGAGGAGAAGAAAGTCGGCCGGATCCACCAGATGCTTGGCTTTTCCTGAGGTGGCGTGTAAACCTACGCGCCGCCAGTGACGGTGGTGCGTGGAAGGACGCGCCGCCACGACTTCAGGCAGTTCCAGAAGGGACTTCAATGCAATTTCTGGAGTTTTAGGGATTGTTTTGTAATTTAACAATTATGTCACCTCTGACGACAGAAGAGGAAGAGGTTCCCGATCACTGTTCACACTGCCCAGAAGGACTTCCCAGCACTGTTATGGAGTTTTGAGGGGTTATTTTGTCATTTTCAAACTATTTAATATAATATTTGTTTAGTTTGAATTTTTATTTGTATTTTGTAAATATATATAAAAAAAAGAAAAGGAAGAAAAAGAAAAGAAAAGAAAAATACAAGGAAACTGCACGTGTGTGTTTGTATTTGTCTTATGAATGTTTCTTTTTATTTATGATCACAATGTAAAAGTACAAACTTGTATGGAAGTTTTATTTCTAAAATTCCATGAAAAGATAAAATTTTTAAAACTTCTTTAACATATCAAGTTCACGAAGTAGTTTATTTGAGGTAAGGTGCGTTAGGGATGCTAATATCTTTCTTAATCACAATCGGTTCTTTACCTGTGAATCTCTGACAAAACCAGTACAACCGGGTTTTCTAGTAACTCTTAATTAAATACTAGGTGGCGACTCCTAACGAATCCAACAAGATCAAATCAAACATAAAAGAGAGAAAAATCAAAAAGCGAGTTGACGCCGTGTAGATTTGTTTGACGAGCGACAAATAAAATAAGAGTTAACTAAGTAAATGAAAGGAAATGAAGACGTAAACTTGATATTAATGAAAGTAAAACATAAACATTATAAAAAATACAAAGAGAGAAAGCAAGAGCATGATTTTGATCTGCAAACTAAGATACCTAAATGAATGGCAAAAAGGTCAAAATTAGGAATTATTAATTTGATGAGTGGGTGACCAACTCTTGACTTGATGACAATCCTTATCTTCTCTTGTCTGCCCAAAACGTCATTGATAACGTCAAAACTGGAGCCAACGTGAAAACATGAAAGTTGTAGGAAATTGTCTTAATTTTTTTTTGTAAAAAATTCAGGTCATTTGAACTTCTAGAACTCTAGATATGGGCCAAACACTAAATAGTGCTCGGGCTGGAAGACAAATT